CCTGTCCCCCTGCGCTCCTCCTGTCCCTCTGTGCTCCTTCTTTTGTCCCACTGCCCCTCACCTGTTCCACTGCGCTCCTCCTGTCCCACTGCTTCTCACCTGTGCCACTGCGCTACTCCTGTCCCGCTGCCCCAATCCTGTCATATGCCCACTGTCACGCTGCCCCCCACCTTTCCCACTGCTCTACTCCTGTCCCCGCTGCCCCGATCTTGTCCCACTGCGCTACTCCTGTCCCGCTGCCCCGATCCTGTCCCATGCCACCCCGTCACGCTGCCCCCCACCTGTCCCTCTACACTTCTCCTGTCCCACTGCCCCTCACCTGTCCCTCTCCGCTCCTCCTTTCCCACTGTCCCTCACCTGTCCCTTTGCTCTCCTCCTGTCCCGCTGCCCCGATCCTGTCCCATACCCCCTGTCACGCTGCCTTCTACCTATCCCTCTGCGCTCCTCCTGTCCCACTGCCCCTCACCTGTCCCTTTGCTCTCCTCCTGTCCCACTGCCCCGATCCTGTCCCATACCCCCGTCACGCTGCCCCCTACCTATCCTTCTGCACTCCTCCTGTCCCTCTGTGCTCCTTCTCCTGTCCCTCTGTGCTTCTCCTGTCCAGCTGCCCCGATCCTGTCCCATGCACTCTGTCACGCTGCCCCCCACCTATCCCTCTGCGTTCCTCCTGTCATGCTGCACCCCACCTGTCCCTCTACGCTCCTCCTGTCCCTCTGTGCTCCTTCTCCTGTCCCACTGCCCCTCACCTGTCCCACTGCGCTCCTCCTGTCCCGCTGCCTCGATCCTGTCCCATGCCCCCTGTCTCGCTGCCACCCACCTGTCCCACCGCGCTACTCCTGTCCTGCTGCCCCGATCCTGTCCCATACCCCCTGTCACGCTGCCCCCCACCTGTCCCTCTACGCTCCTCCTGTCCCACTGCTCCTCACCTGTCCCTCTGTGCTCCTCCTGTCCCACTGCCCCTCACCTGTCCCTTTGCGCTCCTCCTGTCCCGCTGCCCCAATCCTGTCCCATGCCCCCTGTCACGCTGCCCCCACCTGTCCCACTGCCCCTCACCTGTCCTTCTGCGCTTCTCCTGTCCCACTGCACTTCTCCTGTCCCACTGCCCCGATCCTGTCCCATGCCCCCCCGTCAAGCTGCCCCCTACCTGTCCCTCTGCGCTCCTCCTGTCCCACTGCCCCTCACTTGCCCCAGGGGCGTATTTGCCGTAAGGCAAACAAGGCATTTGCCTAGGGTGGCACCTTGCAGGGGGGTGGCACTGCGGCAGCACCGCACCGCCCCCCCCCCCTTTCCCACGGAAGGGACACTTCCGTGGGAAAGGAACAGGGGCTGCTGTGTCTTATCTGACTTCGTGTCCCACGTCGATCCGGTCCACAAGGCGCTGCTGGAGGAGGGGTGCAGAGGGTGTCCGTCCGGGTGTCTTCATCTTCCTGGATCTTGATCGTGATGTGGGCGGGATGACAAGCCGCCCCTCAAATCTGGCCACACCCCTGGGATCACTGGGCAACCTATGGCAGCCTGTCCCTCCCTCTGCAAGCTCCGCCTCCTCACCGGTGATTGGACGCCAGATGTGCAGTTTAGAAAAGGCACACAGGTGGCCAATCACAGGCGAGGAGGCAGAGCTTGGAGAGGAGGAGCCGAGCGGCAGCGCGAAGATTGAAGATCGAGTGAGGGAGCAGCTGGAGCCAGTGAAGAGGAGGAGAGCGGCTGGAGAAGGAAGACAGCTGATGGGTAAGTGTCTGTGCCTGAAGGAGGGAGCCTGGGCTGGAGCAGGGGTCAGCACAGTGATGTAAGTATAATTGGTGTCAGTGGGAGTAATAGTGCCCCATCATTAGTGTCAGTGTGGGAGGAATAGTGCCCCCTAATTGGTGTCACTGACACCAATGAGGGGGCACATTTCCTCCCACCGACACCAATGATGGGGCACTTCCTCCCACTGACGCCAATGATGGGGCACTATGCCTCTGGGCCTGCCACAGATACCAATGATAGGGCACTATTCCTCCCACTGACACCAATGATACGACACTATTCCTCCCACTGATACCAATGATGGGGCACTTCCTCCCACTAACACCAAAGATGGGGCACTATTCCTCCCACTGACACCAATGATGGGGCACTATTCCTCCCACTGACACCAATGATGGGGCACTTCCTCCCACTGATACCAATAATGGGGTACTATTCCTTCCCCTGACACCAATGAGGGGGCTCGATTCCTCCCACTGACACTAACGATGGGGCACTTCCTCCCACTGATACCAATGATGGGGCACGATTCCTCTCACTGACACCAATGATGGGGCATGATTCCTCTCACTGACACCAATGATGGGGCACGATTCCTCCCACTGACACCAATGATGGGGCACTATCATTGGTGTCAGTGGGAGGAATAGTACCCCATTATTAGTGTCAGTGGGAGGAATCATGTCCCATCATTGGTGTCAGTGGGAGGAATAGTGGCCCATCGTTGTCAGTGGGCGGAGCTCTAATAGGAAGAGGTGGAGCCTAAAGAGGAAGGGGTGGAGTTTGCAGATAAAAGGGTGGGGCAAATTTAGATGCGGGTGGGTGCCCGATTTTAGTCTTGCCTCGGGCAGCACATATGTATCAAAGGTGTATAAGACTCACTTTGTCGGACGAACGAATCCGATTTACGAACGTTCTCCCGGAACGGAACTCGTTCGTAAGTCAAGGATTTACTGTACAGTATCCTACTCTTCTCAGCCTCTATAGCAGTGGTCTCCAAACGGAATCCTGGGAGCCTGATGCAGTTCAGTTTTGGGTACCAATTCACAAAAAGAACATTGGGGAGCTAGAGAAAGTACAGAGAAGGGCGACCAAACTGATACGAGGCATGGAGGAGCTCAGCTATGAGGAAAGATTAGAGGAACTGAATTTATTATCTCTTGAGAAGAGGAGATTAAGGGGGGATATGATCAACATGTATAAATACATCAGTGGTTCATATAGTGAGCTCAGTGTAGAATTATTCATCTTTAGGTCATCACAAAGGACAAGGGGGCACTCTTTACATCTGGAGGAAAAGAGATTTAATCTCTAAACAGGGAAAGGTTTCTTCACAGTGAGAGCTGTGAAAATGTGCAATAGACTTCCTCAAGAGTTGGTTCTGGCCAGCTCAGTGAATTGCTTTAAAAAAGGCCTGGATTCAATCCTAGATACACAGAATATAACTGGATACTAACATTTATAGGTAAAGTTGATCCAGGGAATATCCGATTGCCTCTTAGGGATCAGGAAGGAATATTTTCCCCTGCAGGAGCAAATTGGATCATGCTTTGCTGGGGGTTTTTTTGCCTTCCTCTGGATCAACTGTGGGTATAGGATTATAACTTTTTTTTATTATTTATTTTTTATGGTTGAACTAGATGGCCCTTTGCTTGCCTTTATCCGGCCCTTGGGGCATTATTACTCCTACTGTCAGCAACAGTGGGACTTTATTATGGGGCACTATTCCTCTCACTGATATCAATGAAGGGGAACCATTTCTCCCATTGACACCAATTTTGGGGCATTATTCTCCCCACTGACACCAATGATGGAACTCTATGCCTTCCCCTCACACCAAAGAGGGGACACTGTTTTACTCCCACTGACACCACGACGTTAACTACTCCTGGTGGACACAGTCTGGCCCCTCTAGCGTAGGAAGGACAGTAAACTGGCCCTTTGTTTAGTAAGTTTGGAGACCACTGCTCTATAGTATTGAAAATTTGAAGTGAACCAGTTACATCATTTATAAGATTGAAAAAATGCCTATGTGCATGTATGTGTATTTGATTTTTATTCACTAATTATTCCCATAGCCCTGTATATTCTGTTTTAACCTCAGCTCTCAGCTAGCACCACTTCCTGGAGGAGGGAGTACTACATGTTTACTGCTCTAACAGTAAAGAACCCTTTTTGCAATTTAAGGTCCAACCTCCTCTTTTATTACCTCAAATCATGGCCATGTGTCCTCTTTAAGAATTAAGAATTCTGCTTCAAAGTGTAACCATGTGCAAAATTTAAAAAATTGCATATATGATGCAGTCAGTCACTAGCATCACCCTGTAGTACCACCCCCAAAAGGGGCTACTTGGTAACTTTTGGTTCTCTGTTCTGTGCCTCGACTCCAAAACAACCTCATCTCCTCTGACACACCTGGTTGAGCGAAAGTCACTGCAGGCATGAGTAAAATACTCTTAATCTGGCTGTGGGGTTACTACTGGTAAATAGATACACACCCGTTTAGTGATAAATAATCTTAATCTATTGATACAGGTTAGAATGAATAGCAATTTGAACATAAAAGAGCACACAGAGGTAGATTATGACACAACCTGCTAGACAGAATAACTATGCAAATTTGGCAAAAAGTGGATTTTAGCCTAACTAGAATAAAAAGGTGATTTAGCAAATCAACAATAAATAATATTAACCACTTCAAGTCTGGACACTTTTACCCCCTTCCAGTCCAGGCCAATTTTCAGTTTTCAGCGCTATCACACTTTGAATGACAGTTGCGTTGTCATGCAACACTGTACCCATATGAATTTTTTTTTTTTTTTTTTTTGAGACAGATAAAACTTTATTTTGGTGGTATTTATTCACCACTGGGATTTTTATTTTTTTGCTATATAAATGAAAAAGTCCAAAACATTTTTAAAAAAGTGTTTTTCTTATAAAATTTTGCAAATAAATAATCTTTCTTCATAAATCTTGGCCAAAATGTATTCATCTATCTTTTTAGAAAAAAAAAAACAAAACAAATTAGTTTATAACCAAAAATTATAATTTTTCAAAAATAGTTTTTTTTATTTTTATTTTAATTTTAACATACTGTCACTCTAGCAGTACAATGTCACTAGAGATGAGCGAAGTATTCAAAAATTTGATTCGACTGATTCGGCGAATTCGTGGAAAAATTTCGATTCGAGTCGAATATATTCGCTGTGAATTTAACTTAAAAAAGGGTGTTTCTAGGCTTCAGAGAGACTTAATATTAGTGCTGAACACTGTACCTTTAATTTAAATGCCCTTGGAGTCTGCTGGGGAAGAGAAATAATACTGTCAGGCAGTATGACATGCAGATGAGTGCCGTCGATCTTAGAATCACCGCACACTTCACTCATTTGGGCAGTCACGGGGCCAAAACCAGAGTGTGGAGCCACAGTGTGGCGGTGGAGGCAGCAGCAATGGGAGGCCATACAGCACCCTATGACAAAAATGGAAACCACCAGCAGTGTGAGGAGACCTGAAAGTGGCACATGGCAGAGTGTGGCGATAGAGACAGCAGCAATGGGAGGCCGTACAGGGACCCATGACACACTCTGGACCTGGCAGCAGCATGAGGAGGCGGTACAGGGGCCCATGGCAGATTACGGGCCTGGCAGCAGCAGCATGAGGAGTCGGTACGGGGGGCCCATGGCAGATTACAGGCCTGGCAGCAGCAATGGGAGGCCGTACAGGGACCCATGACACAATCTGGACCTGGCAGCAGCATGGGGAGGCGGCGGTACAGGGGCCCATGACAGATTACGGGCCTGGCAGCAGCATTGAGGAGTCGGTACGGGGGCCCATGACACACTCTGGACCTGGCAGCAGCATGAGGAGGCGGTACAGGGGCGCATGACAGATTACGAGCCTGGCAGCAGCAACTTGGACAGGAGGACGTTCAGTTTCTGCACCGTCTGGTGCGTGCTCGCAAACTGTTGTCTCTTGGAAACGGATTCCAAGAAAGACTGCTGACGGAATCCGTGAAGAGGAGTAGCAGGAGAAGGAGCATCTGAACGAGCGGAATATGCCAACAAGCGACAACAGGGGCCCATGACAGATTACGGGCCTGGCAGCAGCATGAGGAGTCGGTACGGGGGCATGGCATGGCAGATTAGGGGCCTGGCAGCAGCTATGGAGGCCCGTAATCTGCCAGCACCCTATGACAAAAAATGGAACCCACCAGCAGTGTGAGGAGACCTGAAAGTGGCACATGGCAGAGTGTGGCGATGGAGACAGCAGCAATGGGAGGCCGTACAGGGACCCATGACAGACTCTGGACCTGGCAGCAGCATGAGGAGGCGGTATAGGGGCCCATGGCAGATTAGGGGCCTGGCAGCAGCTATGGGAGGCCCGTAATCTGCCAGCACCCTATGACAAAAAAATGAATACACCAGCAGTGTGAGGAGACCTGAAAGTGGCACATGGCAGAGTGTGGCGATGGAGACAGCAGCAATGGGAGGCCGTACAGGGACCCATGATGAGAGACTCTGGACTTGGCAGCAGCATGAGGAGGCGGTATAGGGGCCCATGGCAGATTAGGGGCCTGGCAGCAGCTATGGGAGGCCCGTAATCTGCCAGCACCCTATGACAAAAAATGGAACACACCAGCAGTGTGAGGAGACCTGAAAGTGGCACATGTTTGGGGCATGATTCATGGCAGGGATTTAGTCAGTTGTGTCAGGAACTGGTGGTTTGAAATCCAGACTAATCCACGCCTGATTCATTTTCACAAACGTGAGTCTCTCTCCACACACTTTGGGTGGACAGTCGTGTCCTCCGCGGAGTTTGCAATACCTCCTCCTGCCGCACTAAACACGCGCTCCGATGCCACGCTACTGGCCTGGGGCATGACAGCCTTTCAAGGGCAAATTCAGCTAGTTGGGGCCAAAGGTCAAGTTTCGTTGCCCAGTAGTCAAGGGGATTGTCTACCTCGGTTGGCAGGGTGCTGTCCAAGTAGGCCCAAGCCTGTTGTTTGAGGTCCTGCTCCAGGTCCACCTGATGCTGCTGCTGCTGCTGCTGCGGCTGGTTAGTAGTTTCCTCACTGCGCTGGTGAAGAAAGCTACTCATCATCGACTGCAGACTGAGGCAGCCGCTGCTGGTGGAGCTGCCACTGCTCCTACCACCCCACCCCTCCCCTGCTGCCATGGCAGCGGAACGCGCGAGCGCACAGGGCCCACAGTGTCTGAGGATGGACGTTGGCGCAGACAGGCAGAGAGACCAGCTGACTACATAGGTGGTTTTTTATAGTACGTTATTTTGGCCTCCCTCTCAGCAGGTGTGAAAAAGGCCACCATTTTTGAACGGTAGCGAGGGTCCAACAAGGTGGACAGCCAAAAGTCATCCCTCTGTCTGATGGTTATTATTCGGCTGTCGCTACGCAAGCAACCGAGCATGCTATGGGCCATTTGTGCCAAGGAATGCGAGGGACTCCCTGCCTCCATCTCCACAGCATACTGCCACGGTGCGTCTGGGTCCTCTGTCCTCCTCCTCCCTCCTCTACCAGATGCTCCTGCTCCTCCACTCCTGTCCGCTGAGTGGAAAAAACCACCCATTTCACTCAATAATTCCTGAGCACCAATGTCCTCCTCTCCTCTACCTCCTCCTCTTCTTCCTGTCCTGCCCCCCACAGGGGTCATGTGGCGTTGAGATCTGTGCGCCACGCCACGTCTACCGCACCCTGACCAGCCATTGTTAACAGCATTTGTTCCAGGACGTGCAACAGAGGAATGACGTCGTTCATCCCATAGTCCTGCCGACTCACGAATAGCGTGGCCTCCTCAAAGGGCCTGAGCAAGCGCAGGTGTCACGCATGAGCTGCCAATGGCTGACATCTAAGTTACACAGGGAGTACCCTTTATCCGCTTTTAACATCAGGAAATCGGTGATGGCCTTTCGCTGTTCGTAAAGGCGGTCTAACATATGTAGGGTTGAATTCCACCTTGTTGCAACGTCACAGCATGAGGAGTCGGTACGGGGGCCCATGGCAGATTACGTGCCTGGCAGCAGCAATGGGAGGCCCGTAATCTGCCAGCACCCTATGTCAAAAAATTCAACACACCAGCAGTGTGAGGAGACCTGAAAGTGGCACATGGCAGAGTGTGGCTATGGAGACAGCAGCAATGGGAGGCCGTACAGGGACCCATGACACACTCTGGACTTGGCAGCAGCAGCATGAGGAGGCGGTATAGGGGCCCATGGCAGATTAGGGGCCTGGCAGCAGCAATGGGAGGCCCGTAATCTGCCAGCACCCTATGTCAAAAAATTCTACACACCAGCAGTGTGAGGAGACCTGAAAGTGGCACATGGCAGAGTGTGGCGATGGGAGCAGCAGCAATGGGAGGCCGTACAGGGACCCATGAGAGACTCTGGACCTGGCAGCAGCATGAGGAGGCGGTATATAGGGGCCTATGGCAGATTAGGGGCCTGGCAGCAGCTATGGGAGGCCCGTAATCTGCCAGCACCCTATGTCAAAAAATTCTACACACCAGCAGCAGTGTGTGTGAGGAGACCTGAAAGTGGCACATGGGCAGAGTGTGGCGATGGAGACAGCAGCAATGGGAGGCCGTACAGGGACCCATGAGAGACTCTGGACCTGGCAGCAGCATGAGGAGGCGGTATATAGGGGCCTATGGGCAGATTAGGGGCCTGGCAGCAGCTATGGGAGGCCCGTAATCTGCCAGCACCCTATGTCAAAAAATTCTACACACCAGCAGTGTGTGAGGAGACCTGAAAGTGGCACATGGCAGAGTGTGGCGATGGAGACAGCAGCAATGGGAGGCCGTACAGGGACCCATGAGAGACTCTGGACCTGGCAGCAGCATGAGGAGGCGGTATATAGGGGCCTATGGCAGATTAGGGGCCTGGCAGCAGCTATGGGAGGCCCGTAATCTGCCAGCACCCTATGTCAAAAAATTCTACACACCAGCAGTGTGTGAGGAGACCTGAAAGTGGCACATGGCAGAGTGTGGCGATGGAGACAGCAGCAATGGGAGGCCGTACAGGGACCCATGAGAGACTCTGGACCTGGCAGCAGCATGAGGAGGCGGTATATAGGGGCCTATGGCAGATTAGGGGCCTGGCAGCAGCTATGGGAGGCCCGTAATCTGCCAGCACCCTATGTCAAAAAATTCTACACACCAGCAGTGTGTGAGGAGACCTGAAAGTGGCACATGGCAGAGTGTGGCGATGGAGACAGCAGCAATGGGAGGCCGTACAGGGACCCATGAGAGACTCTGGACCTGGCAGCAGCATGAGGAGGCGGTATATAGGGGCCTATGGCAGATTAGGGGCCTGGCAGCAGCTATGGGAGGCCCGTAATCTGCCAGCACCCTATGTCAAAAAATTCTACACACCAGCAGTGTGTGAGGAGACCTGAAAGTGGCACATGGCAGAGTGTGGCGATGGAGACAGCAGCAATGGGAGGCCGTACAGGGACCCATGAGAGACTCTGGACCTGGCAGCAGCATGATGAGGCGGTATATAGGGGCCTATGGCAGATTAGGGGCCTGGCAGCAGCTATGGGAGGCCCGTAATCTGCCAGCACCCTATGTCAAAAAATTCTACACACCAGCAGTGTGTGAGGAGACCTGAAAGTGGCACATGGCAGAGTGTGGCGATGGAGACAGCAGCAATGGGAGGCCGTACAGGGACCCATGAGAGACTCTGGACCTGGCAGCAGCATGAGGAGGCGGTATATAGGGGCCTATGGCAGATTAGGGGCCTGGCAGCAGCTATGGGAGGCCCGTAATCTGCCAGCACCCTATGTCAAAAAATTTAACACACCAGCAGTGTGAGGAGACCTGAAAGTGGCACATGGCAGAGTGTGGCGATGGAGACAGCAGCAATGGGAGGCCGTACAGGGACCCATGAGAGACTCTGGACCTGGCAGCAGCATGAGGAGGCGGTATATAGGGGCCTATGGCAGATTAGGGGCCTGGCAGCAGCTATGGGAGGCCCGTAATCTGCCAGCACCCTATGTCAAAAAATTCAACACACCAGCAGTGTGTGAGGAGACCTGAAAGTGGCACATGGCAGAGTGTGGCGATGGAGACAGCAGCAATGGGAGGCCGTACAGGGACCCATGAGAGACTCTGGACCTGGCAGCAGCATGAGGAGGCGGTATATAGGGGCCCTATGGCAGATTAGGGGCCTGGCAGCAGCTATGGGAGGCCCGTAATCTGCCAGCACCCTATGTCAAAAAATTCTACACACCAGCAGTGTGTGAGGAGACCTGAAAGTGGCACATGGCAGAGTGTGGCGATGGAGACAGCAGCAATGGGAGGCCGTACAGGGACCCATGACAGACTCTGGACCTGGCAGCAGCATGAGGAGGCGGTATATAGGGGCCTATGGCAGATTAGGGGCCTGGCAGCAGCTATGGGAGGCCCGTAATCTGCCAGCACCCTATGTCAAAAAATTCTACACACCAGCAGTGTGAGGAGACCTGAAAGTGGCACATGGCAGAGAGTGTGGCGATGGAGACAGCAGCAATGGGGAGGCCGTACAGGGACCCATGAGAGACTCTGGACCTGGCAGCAGCATGAGGAGGCGGTATATAGGGGCCTATGGCAGATTAGGGGCCTGGCAGCAGCTATGGGAGGCCCGTAATCTGCCAGCACCCTATGTCAAAAAATTCTACACACCAGCAGTGTGTGAGGAGACCTGAAAGTGGCACATGGCAGAGTGTGGCGATGGAGACAGCAGCAATGGGGAGGCCGTACAGGGACCCATGAGAGACTCTGGACCTGGCAGCAGCATGAGGGAGGCGGTATATAGGGGCCTATGGCAGATTAGGGGCCTGGCAGCAGCTATGGGAGGCCCGTAATCTGCCAGCACCCTATGTCAAAAAAATTCA